TTATAAATAATAATAATTTTTTTATTTTTTTATGGGGGGAGGGAAGGGAAGGGAAGGATTATTTAACGAGTGGAAAATCATTTTTATAATAATAATAATAATATTAATAATTTATATGAATTTATAATAATGTAAAAATTTTGAACGTGGTTAAAGAATTATCTATTACCACTTTAAAAAATTTTGAACGTGTTTATTTGTTAACTTAAATAAAAGATTTCAAATTTTTTTAAATAAAAAAATTCGGGTAGGTTTCTTTCGAAAAAAAATCTGGTGACACTTTAATACGATGATAATGATGATATTCTTCTGCCACGTTTTTTTTAAATGTTTTTAATTTTTATACAAGTTTGTATAGTAGGTTGGTAGGTATTAGATAAATATATTACCAACCAGTACTTAAACTACCCGTTTTTAATAAAAAGCAACCGACTAGGGATTTAAATAATAATAATAATAATATTGCAAATTGTAAGGAGAAAAAAAAAACGTTAAAAACAAAATGTCGCACATAAAGAAAAAAAAAAAAAAAAGATAATCTTGTTAAAAAAAATGCCAATTAAAAAGGTTAATTACTAAGTCTTACGATGAGGGAAACCTCTTAACAAATTTATTATCTAGTTTTACACGAGGATTAAACAACAACAACAACAACAACATACGAAAACAATGCTTAACTTATAAATTTAAGATAATTTTATCTGACAAATTTTCTATACTAAGATTTTTTTTTTTTTTTACGTTTTTTGATTTACGGCCCTTATCCTATCTATTCGTGATAATCCTTTTTCAAGGTTTAAACCCCTTTCTCCTCTCTCTCTCTCTCTCCCCTACCCTCCACTCCTTCACTCATCCCCCTTCACGGACTTCTTATCCCTTCTCTCTCCGAAAAAAAAATTTTTTTTTTTTTCTTTCGGGTGGTTATTATAATCGTTTTATTTAATATTATTATTATTATTTAAATTTACAGAATCAGGCGTTATCACTCACGTGTACGTCAAAATCATCGCCTACGTCATCACCTGTTGCTGAATGTTCTAATCTCAAATCGGATGCTAATACTATAATGTTTTCCAAAGAACGTTTGATTGATGGAAAAACTGGAATGAGTGAGTATTTTTTCTCTTTATTTTTGGATACCTGAAAATCGTCATCGTTATTATTATTATTATCATCATCATAATTATTATTAATAGTTTTTTTTTTTTTTTTAAACGTTTAAACGCGGATAATCCATTTCTGGATTATACATAATAATAATTATAAGGCCGGTAAGCCTTAAGGAAATTTTAATCTTGCTACCGAACCGAAACGGAATAAATTACGTGGTGCGTGGAAAAAGAAAAAAAAAACGAATTAATTAATTATTAGAGCCTATTATTAGCTTACGTAAATATAAATCCTTTTTATAAAAAAAAAATATATATCGAAAAGAAAAAAAAAATTAAATATTTAGGGAAGGGAAAAAAAACGATTTCCGGGGGAGAGAGGGAAAAGGGGAAGGGGGAAGAATTTTCCAGGGATTATTATCATCATTATCATCATCGTAATAATCATCGTTATTAAAAATATAATTAAATGTATTATTATTATCATCATTATTATTATTAGTTGTAATATTCACACGATTAAAAGTCGTTTTTACGACTCGCGCACTTGGAAATTTTTAGTTTTAAATGGAAAAGCGTTAGGGAAAAAAAGCAGACGAAAAAATAAAAAACGATAATTAATAAGATTAACGAATCAAAATGAAATAAATAGTTTATTATTATTATTATTATTATTATTCGAGGGGGAAAAGTTTTTCTTTTTTTTTTTTTTTTTCGAAATAAGAAGTCAAAATTGGAAAGAGGTAGAAAATGTTTTTTAAATAAATTTAAAATCGGATTCTTTTTATAAGAACCTAATGGGATTGAAAAAAGATAGAAGAAGATAGAAGAAGAAAGGTAATAATAATGTTAGGCGTTGTTGTTGTTGTTGTTGTTGGGTATGATGCTGTTGTGATATACGAACGTAAAAAGATAGAAAGAGATAGTTTGTGTAGGATGGTGTTGGGGGTGGTGGTGGTAGTGGTGGCGGTGTTAAAAAAAGAATGAGAAAGAAAATAAGAAAGAACGTGTTTTATAAAGTTGGTAGAATTGTTAATTAATCCTTCTTTAGTTGTATTGAACAAGTTCGGTAATCCGTTATAAGAAAAAGGAGGTTTTCTCGAACGTACGAACGAACGAACGTAAAATTCCGATGGTTTAATACCTACGTGTGAACTCTTAGTTTCTTTCAACTACTTAACGTGTGATCTCTCTCTATCTTTCTCTCACTCTCCTTCTATCTCTCTTTCTCTCTCACTTCTTTCCAGTTTATAAAATCTTCTTCTTATTCTTATTCTTATTCTCCATGAAATAGACTTAACTAATTCAGCTTAGCATTTTATATTTATTTATATATATACATTTTCTTTCTCTTTTCTTTTTTTTCACTCACGTGACGTAACGCTAGAAAAAAAAAAAAAAAAAAACGTTTTTCCATTTTCTTATTATCATTATCATTTGTTTTTTTTTTTTTTTTGGGGGGGGGGAATCTGGGTACGCGTATAAAAACGTAATTTAAAATAAAATTCAGGTTCGTGATAATAATAATAAAATTTAAATATCTACAATTTTGTCCCTTTATATACCTCTCTCTCTCTCTCTCTCTCTTTCTCTCTCACACACACACACACACAACATGGAAGAACGTTTTTTTTTTTATTTAGTTGTTTATTATGAAAATTTCTCGGTTGTTGTTTGTTTGTTTGTCGTTTGTGAATTGTTGATGCCTTTTTTTTTCTCGAAACGATTCGGAGTTTTATTTCATTATTATTATTATTATTATTATTATTATTATTATTATTTTTGTCAAACGAGTTTTTTTTTTTTTTTTCGAATTAATTTATGAAGAATTGGTTTGGTTAATCGGTGGCTAAACTCGTGTTAAATGTCGCTAACTTGAATTTTCTCTCGAATATTTTTCTTTTTCTTATTTTCCTTCGCTGTCGTTTTTTTTTTTTTTTATTGTTCAGGTTTTATAAAAAGAAAGAAAATTGTTCAGGTTCGATTTAATTTAATTTATAATTGTTTATATTTTTTTTTTAATTGTTTACGTTTTAGAATTTTTATTTCGTTGATTCGTTTGCGGATTTTCCGGATAATTTTTTTTTTTTGAATTTGGCGACAATTTTCCTGTCGGTGGAAAATCTTTTGGGGGGGGGGAACAATAATAATGGAGGGAGTCGATTTATTATTAAAAAAATAAAAATTAAACGAATGAATCACGACGGGGAAAAAAAATCCCTGCAACAACAAATTTTTACCCGACGGCGAGAGAGAGAGAGAAAAAGGAGGGAAATTTTATAAAAAACGTCGACAAAATTTAACGACAGCAGGGAAAAAACAAAATTTGTCGAATCTTTGCAAAAAAAAAAGAAAAAAAAAGGAAAATCTTGTCCATAAATTTTTTTTTCTTTTTTTTTTTATTTCGGTTCTTCGATTGACGTAACCTGTCGTCGTAAAAAAAAAAAAAAAAATAAAATAATAATAATAATGAATGAATGAATGAATGAAATCAGGTATGTCGTCGAAATGGTCGAACGCGACCGATAATAATAATGATAATAAGTAAATAATAATAATAATAAATAAAGTTGATTAACGATTTATTAAAAAAAAGAAATTTTTTTTTTTTTTTTATCCGGTGATTGGTTGGTTGGTTGTAATTACGGATACAACAAAATTGTAAGACAATACAAACGACAAACTCACGACGACAACAACAACAACCGGCTTTTTTTTAATATTAAATAAGATGATACCACACGACAAGTTTTTTTTTTACGGTAATAAGTAAAAAAAAAAAAAAATGTCGTGTGTAGTTATCTTATTTTATCTTATCAAAGAAACCGAAGGAACGAAAAAAAATTATTTTTTTATTTATGTTAATACTAATTTGTAGTGACGGTTGGTAGTAGTGAATTTATTTAAATAATAATAATAATGATGATGATGATGATGATGATGATCGCGGATTTATTTATTATTATTATTATTATTATTTTTCTTGCAAATAAATTTATATAAGGTTTTTTTTCTTTCTTATGATAAATTACCAACGTGGGAATGATGATGATGATCGTTTCCGGTTTTGTATAGTTTATAGGGGAAATTTCTTTTTTTTTACTGTTACGTTTCTTGTTGTGCGTGTGTGCGCATGCGCGGTCACGATTTTTTTTTAAACGCGGTATATTTACGGGGGGAAATGATCGAAATGTAATTCGTTCACGCATTGCACTCGTCTCCCCCCCCCCACCACGCCTCGCCCTACCTCTCCACCAAAAAGGTTTTTCCAGTGTGCGACATTTTTCCATTTATTTTAAATGTTTCATTTAATGACGTCACAATTTGTAACGGTTTTCTTTCTTTCTCCAGCAGAGTTTTTTTTCTGTTCATAATTGAGTGTCACGTAATCTCCCCTTCGTAATCAAAAAATATCTTCTGCTTTTCATTTTTATTCTCAAAGCGAATTTTATTTTATTTTTTTTGTAAGTCTTTAGTTAGTCGTAAAAGCGAGATTATTATTATTATTATTAAATTTTATTGATTTTAAATAAGTAAATAAATAAGTTAATAAATTACGTAACGATGAGTAAAAGATATAAACAAACAAACAAACAAACAAACAAACGCCACCACCTGTTTAAAAAAAAAAAATTTTTTTTTTATTTCTGTTGAAATTTTAAATTGTTTTTTTTTAAATAACCTTGTTTAATAATAATAATAATAAATAAAATGACAGTATAAATAAAAGAATAAGATGATGATGGTGATGATGATGATGATGAAAAGAAGAAATGAAAAGATAGATAAGGTTTTGTTGTTTGTTGGTGTGCCATCATCCACTACAAAATGTGGTTAATCAAACGCACAAGAAGAAGAAGAAGAAGAAGAAGAGTTTATACTTTTTTTCAAATGTCTTTTCATTTCCTGTTTCATCTTCAATTTAACGAGTTTTTTTTTTTTCTAGATCTTTCCAGCTTTTTTTTTATTATTTTTTCTCGTTTCCTTTTTTTTTTTTTATTTTTCCCCGATAAGGCATTTCGTCGAAAATCTTTGGAAAATTTTCTGTCAACGTTTATTTTTTTCTTTCTTTCTTTCAACTTCCTCTTCCTCTCATTCTTTAAGGTTTATAATTTTTTTTTTTTTTTTTACAGATAAGTCACTCCCGGTTCATTGTATCGTCGAAACAATCCTTTCGCTGGAAGAACAAAACGATAATCGTGAAAAAAATAACTGGAGAAGAAAATCAAATGTCGAAATTGATAGTTACGTTATTATTCCGGTAAATACTCCGATACAAGAACTCGTTTTGGTTGCTTTAACAAGATTGGGATACCCGAAAGAATCAGCTGCTTCTGCCAAAGGTTTTTATTTTTATTATTTATTTAAAGTTCGTTGACCTTTTATAATCCCATCCCTACACTTCTCTTTTTTTCATCCCTTATATTTTTATTAAATACTTTTTCTTTTTCAAGGTTAAGGGTGGCAAAAAAAGGGTTTTGAAAAAATTTGATTTGGGTGGTTTTTTTAAAAATTGATTTTCGATTGTTTCGAAACCTTTTTTTTTGGGGGGGGGAGGAGGAGGGGGAAATTTTTCAAAAAAAGAAAACGAAAAACGGAAAAATCGGTTTGAAGAGTTCGTGAAAATCCTAAATTAAAAAATTAAAACGAGTAAAATATTTGGGAAATGATAATAACCTCCTCCTTTTCCTCCTCCTCCTTCTTTTCCTCCTCCTTCTTTTCCTCCTCCTCCTTTTCCTCCTCCTCCTTCTTTTCCTCCTCCTCCTTTTCCTCCTCCTTTTCCTCCTCCTCCTCCTTTTCCTCCTCCTCCTCCTTTTCCTCCTCCTCCTCCTTTTCCTCCTCCTCCTCCTTTTCCTCCTCCTTCTTTTCCTCCTCCGCCTCCTCCTTTTTCTCCTTCTTATCCTCCTTCTCTTTCTTTTCTTCTTCTCTTCCTTTTCCTTTCCCTTTTCTTTTTTCTTCTCTTCCTTCTTCTTCTCCTCCTATTTCTCTTCCTTCTCCTTCTCTTCTATCTTCTCCTGTTTTTCTCTTTTCCTTCTCTTTTTTCTCCTCCATTTTCTCCTTCTTTTCCTTTTCCTTTTCCTTCTCCTCCTTTTCCTCTTCCTTCTCCTTCTCTTCCTTCTCCTTCCTTTTTTCTTCCTTTTCCTTCTCTTTCATCTCTTCCTCCTTTTCTTCCTCCTTTTTCTTCTTCTTTTCATTCTTCACCTCTTCCAATTCCATATCGTCTATGTTATTTTCCAACATAATAACCGGAAATGTAAAGAAAAACGAATAATTTCCTCACCGCAATCCCCTTTCTCCCCACTATCCCATAACTTCCGGTTTATTATTGATTTTCATAAATTAAAATTTTTTTTTCTTAATAATATTTTAAAGGTGCTATACTGATAAGAAATTGGAGAGCTTTGTCTTTTGACACGATATCACCTGGTCCGATGGTAACCGTCGGAGAATTATTAAGCGAATTAAGCACTATAGCAACTCTAAGAATACAAATTTTAAGACCTAAAACGAGTCTCATACAGGATATTAAAGATAAATTGTTACGCCTGCTACTCATCCAGAGTTATAATTTATTACTTCGATCTGGATGTCCTCTGGATACGGTAAGTCCTTATTTATCCTTTTCATAATCATCATCATCATCATCGTTAGAGTCGTGTAAATAATCATTCATTCATTTGTTTTCTATTTCCCCGATCGAACGTGGAAGAAAAAAAAAACATTTAAACAATATTAACTTTTTAAACGCGAAGATAGGGAAAAAAATGAAAACGATAGAAAATTTTTAAAGTTATTTTGTATATTCTACTGCCACGTCGTTTTTTTTTTTTTTTTTGTTTCATTCGTAAAACAAACAAATAAAATGATCCTTAAATCAAGCAAATGTGACATTTGATGGATTGTTTTATTAGGGGTATACATTTTAATATGATTTTGTGTGTGTGTGTATAAATTTTTAAAGCAGACGATATTTAACAAAAAAAAAAAAAAATAGTAATGATGATAAGAACAGAAGAAAAACAAAACAAACTCCCGGTTTTTATTATTATTATTAAATGTTTTTTCATTTTGCTAATTTATTGCAGATTACACAACAACAAACTTATTACGATGATGATAATGATGATAACTCACTTTTTTTTTTTTTTTAAATCTTTTTATTTTCATTTTTTTAATGCTTTTTTTTTTTTTTTTTTAAAAAAAAGTTTACTTTTTAATTTATTTACAAAACAGTGAGAGAGAGAGAGAGAGAAAAAGGAACTTTGTTCTTTTTTTTTTTTCGTGTCATTAAAATATATAATTTTATTGTTGTTTGTTTGTTGTTTGTTGTTGTTGTTGTTAGGGAGTCGAAAAAAATTAATTTAATTAATTTGCAGGTTTTTTTTTTTTTTTTTTTAATCGCCGACCGACCGTTTTTTATTATTATTATTATTATTATTAAATTTTTTTTTGACGTCGATTTGTCGTGTCAATAGACTTCTTTTTATTTAATTAATATTATTAATTATTATTATTATTATTATGTTGTTGTTGTTGTAGTTGTATTTACGTTAATTGTTTAACGCGTGAATTTTTTTCTTTTTTTTTTTTCGCCAAAGAGAAAATTGTTAGAAAAAATTCAATCGTTTGTTGTTTGTTTGTCCGTTTGTTTCAACGGTTAAATACGTATAAAGAAATCGAAAAAAATTTAAATTCGGTTTACGTACGAATAAAAAAACAATAGATTATCTTAAACAATTCGTTTGTCTTTCACTCTAAAAAAAAAAAAAAAAAAACGGGAGTAGAAATTAACTAGAGTGATTGATTGATTGAATGAATGAATGAATGAATGAATGAATGAATGAATTTTATAGTTTTTGAGTAAATGTGGTAGAAAATAATGCGAAAAAAAAAATTTTTTTAAATGTTCGAATTTGTTCGTGATTAAAATAGAATAATCGATGGTAATTAAAAACCTGAGCAAACACGAGCATGTCGTAAAACATTTTTGTTTGTTGGTTGTTGTTAATATTATAATTTATCAGGTTTATTCATCTTCTGATGTTTGTTGACAGGGATCAGCATTGTTTCCAAATGCTTTATTATGTTGATTTCATTCCTAGTTTTACGTTGACACGACAAAAAAAAAAAAAAAAAAATCTTCAATGATCATGTTCTCTCTCTCTCTCTCTCTTTTATTATTCTCGCCTTCCGTTGCGTCGTAACCGTTTTCGGTTATAATAGAAAGAAGAAGAGAGGAAGAGAGGAAGAAAAATTTTTACTTTTACAATTTCCAGCTTACTTTATCGAATTTATGTCGCGATAATGCCACGACAACACAACACATCGAACCAAGCGATGACATACGTACAAAATTTGAATCGTGGGTATCATCACAAATAAACAATCCATATTTTCACATGTTATCATCACCAATAGTACCAACCACAGTATCGACACAAAGGATATCGAGTCCGATTCGAAAAGAATCTGATATGCAACAACAACAAACACAACAAACACAACAATCAATGTTACAAAATCAATTAACACAAAAAACAAGAATGAGAACAAGTTTTGATCCTGAATTAGAGTTACCAAAATTACAAAAATGGTTTTTAGAAAATCAACATCCTAGTCGACAACAGGTGAGTTAGTGTTGTTTGTTGTTTGTTTGTTTGTTTGTTACAATTTTTTGTATTTTATTATTTATACCCGTTTTTTAGATACAACAATACGTAAAAGAATTAAATAATTTAGAATCGAGACGTGGAAGAAAACCGTTGGATGTTAATAATGTCGTTTATTGGTTTAAAAATGCAAGAGCGGCGCAAAAACGAGCCGAACTCCGAGGTTTTTGCGCTCCTTTATTAAACATGAACGTTAACGGTTTTCACGGTTTTCACAATTCCTTAAGGTGATATATCAATTGATTACATTTCGTTACATCGAGTTTTAAAAATTTGTTCTAATGCCACGCTCTTATTTATATAGAACTCAACCCCCGAGTTTGATATCCTCCGATCAACATTCCGTGTCGGAAGATGAAATGTCGAGATTATCAGACAACGAAGACAGCACTCGAACGATCGATATTAACGATAACGAATCGGATGTTCCCTTGTCTTTAACCACGTCTAATAATCAGAGAAATTATCATAACGATTGTTACGATAACGAAAAAAAACATTCGTCATCCTCATCGTCTTCTGCTAAAAACGACGAAGTAAATATACACATACATATATATATTTCATCGTTCGATTTATCGATCGATATATCGATATTATTATTATGGTATCCATTTTTAGATAATGCAAGAAGATTCGTCGCAAATCGTTAAAGATGTCGGTTGTTTGAGTGATGGAAACGCCAAAGAAGAAAATAATAAAAAAATTGAATCATCCCCTAATCGAGATGTTAACAAAACAACGACGGAGAGTAAAAAAAAAGAAAATGGCGTCGATGGGAAAGAGACAAACGTTGAAAAAGATGAAGAATGTTTGAAAAAATTACCACCGACAACTCATTCTAACGAACACATTAATAATAATAATAATAATAATAATAATAATAATAATTGTAGTGATCAAACATTTTCCGACGATGATGATCCGATTGATGACGAAAGGTTTTTTTTTTTTTTTTTTTTTAATTATCGATTGATCGATACGTAATAAAAAATCGATATTTATTATTATTATTATTATTATTATTATTATTATTACAGGGCGACGATCGATTTAAGAAGCAGAAAAAATTCTATCGATGATTTACGTAGTCCTAGTCCGACGAGTGGAGTTCTAATGCCACGATTACCACCAGGTAAAATTAAAAAAAAAAAAAAAAAAATTTTATTTTCCGTTCGGTTAAATTTATTTTTTAAATTTTTAAATTTTCCCGCCAAAAAAAAAAAAAAAGGTTTTCCGCTCGTACCGAATTCAATGATGAGTCAATCGATTATGTACATGAGTCATTACATGCCTGGTTTATCACCTTTGGGACCTGGAAGAGATCAATCAATGTTGACGTTATCACAAGACGAAAGAAGGAAAAGAAACAGGACGTTTATTGATCCCGTAACGGAAGTACCACGTTTGGAACAATGGTTCGTTTACGTTAAATTATTTTTCATTTCCGGTTTTTTTCCGTTAATTACAAACGATTTTCTTTTTTTTTTTAATTTAAGGTTTTCTTTAAACACTCATCCATCTCACAATTTAATATTGAAATACACGGATGAACTTAATCGCATGCCCTACAGGCAAAAATTTCCACGTTTGGAACCTAAAAATGTACAATTTTGGTTTAAAAATCGTCGTGCCAAATGTAAAAGATTGAAAATGTCTTTATTCGAAAATCAGGGATCTCATTATCAACCAAATTAGGTATCGATACATCGATCGATCGATTCGATTTTTATCGATTTAAAATTCGATTAATTTCGATCATTTTTTTTTTTCCAGACGTAGAAAAAAATGTTTTGAAAAAAAAAAAAAAAAAAAAATCTTAGTCGTAAATTTTTAAGTGTTTTACCTGAGCTGTTACCGTTATTAAAATAGTTATTAATTAATTATTTCTTAGAGTATATAAACATGTTTCATAGATGTATCATCTCACACGTTTTTGTTTTGGTAAGTTTTAATAATAATAATAATGATAATAAATTATTACGTAATTTTATTTAATTTTTTTTTAATTTCTCCCGCGTCCGTGCCCCTTAAAATTTTTAATTATACTTTTTTCAATACACTCGTGTTTACAAATTTTTAACAAAAGCATAATTTTATTTTCTTTTCAGGTTATTAGATATATTGTTTATTGATCGATTGATGGATCGATCGATCGATCGATCGATTATTATTCGACACGCAAAAAAAAAAGTTACTTAAAGTTTTTTTTTAATTTTATTTTTATTTTTTATTATAATTTTATTGTAATCGATCTCAGGTTTTTAATTAAAAAAAAAAAAAATAATAATGATAAAAATGAATTATTATAAAATTTAATTTATTACCTTGTAAAAATCCTAAATAATTTTAAATCGAAAAAAGAAAATGGGGAGGGAGGGAGGAGGGTTGGTTGTTTTTTCTTTAACAACCCCAAGTATTAAAAAAAAAAAAACTTTCAACAACCCCGACGGGGTAAAAAGCTTCTCTCGACTCGTTCGTTCCGTTCTTGTGTTAAGAAAAGAAAAAAAAGTTTTTAATTTACTCGGGGTCGATGATAAACGTTATCACACGAATTGAAAAGAAAAAAAAAGGATCTGGGGGGAGGGGGAAAGGGGGAAGGGGGTAGAATGTTTTTTTACAAATGGACGATTATTTTTATTTCGTCTCCCTTAAAAAAAAAAAAATTTTTTCTTTTACCTTTCGATATTATTTTATTTTATCCCCGTTTTATTTTGATTCCCATTTTAAAAAAAAAAAAACTTTTCTTCTTCTCCCTTTAAAATACTTTGTATTGTTTCCCTAAACAAACGAATCATTCGAGGCCAAAACCCAACAATTAGTTTATTCCTTAAGGATAATTTTAACAATGGAATTATTCACCTTCCATGATGATCCAGGTATATCAGAAGAGATTCCGTGGGAAATTTTCAACTGTTTATATACTTTTATATATAAACCTCCCACCCCACCCCCACTCCAACCCCACATCATCCGACTTTCTCTTTCTTCCTTTCACCCTCTCCCTCCTCCCTCCTCCTTCCTCCTCCTACCCCCTCAATTTCCCTCTCCTTCGATTTAATCTCTACTTTTTACTCTCCAGTCAAAAGTAAACTTTTTTTATTTTTTTTGAAAAATTTTTATTTAGCGTGAATTTCATTCGAATAAATAATAATAATAATAATGATAAATTCGAAAAATAAATTTAAAAAATCCGAGAATTAAATAAAAAAACAAAAATGGAGGCAGAGAGAGAAAAAATATTTTTTTTAAATTTTATTTTAGGATATTAATTATTATTATTATTATTTAAATTTTTACGTGAATTAATAATGATGATAATGATGATGATGATGACGATGATGATGATAATGATGATGATGATGACGATGATGGTGATGATGGTGATGATGATGATGATGATAAAATATGACGATAATGAACTGGAAAAAATTATTTTCTGAATCACACTCACTCACACACACACGCACGTCATCATTTTTTGTTTAATTTTTTTTTTTTTATTATCAATTATTTATCGATAAGGATTCGTTAATGATAATAATAATAATAATAATAATAATAATATTAATAATAGTTTTTTTTAAAAACAAATTTGTTTAAATGACGTAAAAAAATTTTTTTTAGAAACTTTTCCGGCGTTATCCTCGCGACAAGTAAAAATATTTTTTCTAAAAAACAAAAAAATGTCTCCAGCGTCTTTAATTATTATTATTATCATCATAAAAAAATAATTCATTTATCAAATTCACTAAAGACAAAACTGAAGCTCGGGAAAAAGAAAAACTTTTTCGCTGGAGGGTTAAAAAAAAAAAATTTTTACGAAAATTTTCTCGAAAAAAAAAAAATTAACAATTTTACAATTAGATAAAAAAAAAAAGAAAATTCCATCAGTATTATCATCATCATTATCAAAAAAATTTTCCAAATAAATGATTTTATATATATATATTCATCCCCTCCATTTTTTTTTCTTTTCCCAGTCGTTATTTACTTTTTTTTTTATAAAAAACAGGTAAAAGCTCTTTTCTTTACTTACAATTTATTTTTTTAAATTTTAGGGAAAGTAAAGTCATTTGTATATAAAAAAAAGGTAAGAAAAAGGTTAGAAAAGGATTTAGAGAGTAAGAAAGAAAGAGAAAGAGAAACTATTACGTCATTTATTTCCTTTTTGGTTAAATCAGATTTTCCCGGATATAAAAAATAAAATAGTTTATTGTCAATATTAATTTTTTTTTTAAATAAATAAACTATATAAGATATATATCGATTTTTATTTTAAAACATGATGATGATGATGATGATAAGAACCCACGTGACACGATTTTCCGAATTTTTCCAGAAAGAAACAAAAAGGGGAAAAATTTAAATATTAACGTAAAATTTTTTTTCTTTTCTTAATTCTCTTCCAGGAAAATTTTAAAAAATTATTATTATTATTAGTATTATTATTAGTATTATTATTATCATTCTCTGGAAACGCATCTGGAACCAAACTAATAATAATAATAACGATAATAGTGACACGACAATTTGTTTTCGTGAGTACAAAAATTTTTTTTGTTTTTAATTCTCTTTCAGAAAAATTTTAAAAAATTACTATTATTATTATTATTATTATTATTATTATTAGTATTATCATTTTCTGGAAACGTATCTGGAACCAAACTAATGATAATAATGATAATAGTGAGACGACGATTTGTTTTCGTGAGTACAGAAAAAAATTTTTTTTTTTTTTTTTAAATAATAAAAAAGATAAAACTAAAGAATCCGATGAGAGATGAGATACAGAAAATGATGCTGTACAAGATGATGATGATGATGATGACGTAAACAAACAAACAACATCCATTTATAAAATACGAAACAAAAACGATGACGACGACGACGACGACTTTTGTGATATTATTATTATTATCGTGTCAATTCAGTTTCCTTGTTAATCTGACATTGAATATGTCATCGATCGTAGTTTATTTAATAAAATCTAGTAAAAGTCAATGATTTTAATATAAAAAAAGTGTAAATAGAAAAAGAAAGTGGAATCAGACAAACAAACAAAAAACAAAATGGAGTTTTTTTTTTTTTATTCGTTTATACAAAATCGAATGGAATTTTTCTTTTTTTCGTTTTAAAAAAATTTTTTTTTCACCTGGAATATTTTTCAATTTTTCCTGGAAGATGAAAAAAAAAGCGGGAAATATGAAATTTAAAAAAAAAAAAAAAAAAAAAAATTTCTTTTCGTTAAGACACGTTGTAAATCAAATAAGGATTACAAACGTTTGTAATCCCGTATTGTAAAAAAAAGAACAAAAATTATTATTTTAAAAAAACCATTATCGTTTATGTTATTACAATTAATTAACATCATCACCTTACGTTTCTAATCGATGTAATTAAACGTTTTCCAAATTGTAAAATGAATTTTTAACTCCGTGTTATTTATATGACGTGAAAATTCTTTTTATGTTTTTGGTATGCGAGGCAAAGAACAAAAAAAAATTTTCCGAGTTTTTTTTCGTTTTTTTTCTTCAATAATTTAAACTCTAATGCCACGTTAAATTTTTTTTTCTTTCTTTTTTACTCAAATATTATTATTATTACTGTAAATAATAATAATCGAGTATATAAAAATTAAAATTAATTCAAACAAGTGGTTTATAAAATTAAAAAATTTTTACTTAATCTCGAATTTTCAATAAATAATATTAATAATAATAATAATGATAAAACTTACTAAATGTTATTTTATTTATTAACTTTAATAACTTTTTAAAAAAAAAAAATAATAATAATAATCGTAAAAAAATATCGGAAAAGAAAAATTTTTTTTTTTTTTTTTTAAAATAAATGGAAAACTTAATCTGGATTACGATGAGTATGAGGGATATGATGAAACTGAGCAGAAGAAAACTAAGAACGAAAGTCTTAAATCGAAAAGCGGTTGAAGGATTGTCTATTGTTGGCATTAGCGAAGGAATGGGAGGAGGGGGAGTAGGGGGATGAGCGAAGGAGGGCGCGTGCAACATACGAAGAGGGTGAACCAAGTTTAGAAGATGATGAGAACGCACTTAAATCAAAATAAAATCCGGCTTAGGAATTAGTCTAAGATTAAGTGTAAATTGTTCTTCTTCTTCATCTTCATCTTATTCGACATTTTGGAAAGAATCGATGACGGAAACGGAAACGGAAACGGAAAAAAAAGAGAGAGAGTGTGGGAAATATATAGAGCAAGTCGTTTGTTAAGGTTTTTATTTAAAACAAACGTTAAAAATTTAAATAAAATATAACAAAAAAGTTACGGAAAAACGTACGAAAAATGAAACAAGAGAGAGAGAGAGAGAGTTTCTCCTCTCGTTAAGATTTTCATTTAAAAAATAATAAAGAGAAATAAGATAGGAAAGAAGGGATAAAAATGAGTAAGAAAAAGGGAGAAAGAGAGAGAGGTGTAGGTTATAAAAAGGAAGTTTTTGCGGATAGGAGACAGAGAGAGAGAGAGAGAGTGAGTGAGAGGAAGGGAGAGAGAGATAGGGGTAAAATGTTAATAAGATTCATAACGGGGTTGTAAATCATCGCAAGACTCCTTACTGAACCAGATAAGCCGAGACTGTTTCATAAATTGTGATCTTTCGTGGTAAAAGAAAATAAGAGACTACAATGCTGAGAAAGCACATCCGCAACAGTTCGGTTATTTT